ATGAAGGGAATGGAAGCGTTTCATAGATGAGTGAGAACAGGAAGGCAGACCCCTGTCTGTGTGTAATTACAGAGTCTCTTCCTGGTGGCTGCTGTTGGCAGCATGCTGGGCATGTGTTTTCAATTCTCCAGGTTGGGAACTGCAGGTAATACCTATTGCTTTGTGAGACCTGACCTGGCTGTGAAAGGAAAAAAGAGACGAGGATAATAAAAGCTGTGAGCAATGGCTTTGCCAGGTGCAGGGTCTGCCCCCCAGCGTGAGTCCCACCTTCAGGAACCACTTGGGTAGGGCAAAGGGGAATCTAGCCACCCTTTCTGTGCTGGACTCTTTTGGGATCAGAAACTCCACATGGAACAGCTCATGGCAGGGGGGGTCTCTAGAGGCTCTAGAGGGGTTAAAAGGCAGAGTCAATCCACTGGATGTCCTTCTAAGCTAAGAAAAGGTAACAGGAGGCTCTAAGATGCAAGGACCTGGTGTGTGGGTTTCAAAAACAAAGGGTGTGTGTTTGTGCAAGGGGCAAGGTGGAGAGAGGAGGTTGTGCAAGATAAGGCTGGAGGGCGAGGCTGGGTGTGGGCTTGAAAAACATATGGAGTAGAATGAACTTTATCCTAAAGGCAATGATAAGCCACTGAAAGGTTTTAAGAAGACGTGTGACAAGTTCATATTTGTGTTTAAGAAAGATCCTTTTTGCTTCTGTGGGGAGCAGTGCTGTTCAACAGAAATATGAGAGCCATAAATGTGAGCCACAAGAAATTTGAAAATTTCTAGTAGCCACATTAAAAATGTAAAAACAAACAGGTGAAATTAATTTTAAATAATGTTTTACTGAATTCAATACATGAAAAATATTATCATTTAACATATAATCAATAGAGAAATCTTAATGATGTTTTACTTTTTCATATTAAACCTTCAAAATCCAATGTGTGTTTTATACTTACAGCACATTTCAATTTGAATTAGCCACCTTTAAAGTGTTCAGTAGCCACACATGTTTAGTGGCTCACATATTGGATACTGTAGATATAGATAATTTATTTGAGAGGAGCAAGAATGGCAAAGCTGTTGCAGTTGACCTGGAGGAGGATGGTGGCTTGGGGATAAAGGCAAAGGGACAGATTTCAGACATATGACTCCTAGGTTGTCATCCCAGACCTGGTCTTCATACCTCTGAACTCCTTTTATCTAAAAGAGAAATATACTCCTATCTTGTTTGGGCCATTTTACTTGGGGGGTTGCCTTCTACTCACAGCTGGACCTAATTTTAATGAAGACAGCACCTAAATGGAGATGTCTAATGGACAGTGAGATCTGATGGTCCACACAAGGAGAGGTCTGAGAAAGCTACCTATAAACTTGGGAGTTCCCAGTCCATAGCCAGTCACTGAAGCCATGGCAACATGTGAGATCTCCAAGGGAGAACTGTCTAGTGGGAAGAGAAAAGGATCTAGAAGAGAACTCTGAGGAACACCAACACTTAGGATGGGCAGAGGAAAAGGAGCCTGCTAAGGCAGCCAGAAAGGTAGGAAGGAAATCAGGGAAGTGTTGTGCCATGGAAGCTTAGGGAGGAGATAGTCCCAAGGAGGGGTGATCAACAATGGTAAAGGCAGCTATCTTTACTGTTTCTAGGGGTTTGGATGGTACCATAGAACCTGAATAAAACGACTTAGGTTTTTTGCAGCCCCACATTCCTATGGAAGCTGGTCATGCATCCTCCTGCTCAGTGCCCTTCATTGGGCCCCAAGTTCCTTAAGGATAACATTCTAGCTCCTAAGCACATCCTTTAGGCCCGTCCAAAGTCTGGTCCTAGCTTTTCTGTCCAGCCTGTTCCCTTCCCAGCACACTCTGTCCCTGCCAGGCCTGGCTTCCTACCATTCCCTGCCTTGGCTTGTATGCTTCTTTCTGACTGAAGAACCTTCCCTCCCTCCATTTTCTCTTTTCCCCTGAATCCTACCATGCTTTAAGACTTACCTCAAATGCCAACTTTCCTGTTTCCTAATTCTTCCAGACAGATTAACTGCCTCCCTAGCCCCGTGCTCCCCATGAGTATTTTGCTCACAGTCACAGCCCTCATTGTAGTGTGATCTGTGTTAAGGTTGGTTGTGTACATGTGTGTCTCCCCAACTAGACTGTGGACTTGGAAAATTCTGAGGCTGATTCTGGCTACTCATCCCTGTCCCCCTTGGTGTCCTCCTCACAGCTTGTTAATGTTTAAGAAGTGTTTATGGATTGAATGGAATAGTTGTTCCTCATAGGCCCCAAGTAATGGTATGGTCTCTATCTTCTTTGTCATATCACTCAAGGAGTCATAGAGATGAGAGAGATACTAAAATAAAACCCTGTTTAGAGTGAAATAAACAAGGAGTTGAGTTTGAATCCAGCTGCTCAAAGAAATAGACCCAGTCTGAGCTTCCCCTGACCCAAACAGCTTATATCATTTGGGTGCCCCCAAACCATCCTGTGAATAGAAAAGCAATAAAAAAATAATAAAATTAAAAGTTGGTTCTTTGAAGAAATAAACAAAATTGACAAATCTTCAGCTAGACTGACCAAGAAAAAAGAGAAGACTCAGGTTACTACAAAGAGGAATGAAAGAAGGGACATTGTTACAGATCTTAGAGAAAGGAAAAGGATTACAAAGGAATACTGTGAACAAGTATACTATTTAATGCTATTAAATTAGATAACCTAGATAACATGGACAAATTGTTAGAAACACAAGCTACTGAAATTACTTCAAGAAATAGGTAATCTGAATAGACTTAAAAGAACTAAAGAGATTGTGTTAGTATTTTTAAAACTTCCCACAAAGAAAATTCCAGGCCCAGATGGCTTCTCTGCTGAATTCTACCAAATCTTTAAAGAATTAATACCAATATTTCACACTCTTCCAAAAAATACAATAGGAGGAAACATTTCCAACTCATTTCATTAGTCTAGTATTATCCAGATACCAACACCAAAGACATCACAAGAAAAATATGTATCAACATATCAATATAGATGCAAAAATCCTCAACAAAATACTAGCAAAATGAACCCAGCAACAAATAAAAAGAATTATACATCATGACCAACTGGCATTTATCCCAGGAATGCAAGATTGGTTTAATATTTGAAAATCAATATAATATACCATATTAATAAAATAATGGACTCAAACCACATGATCATCTCAATAGATGCAGAACAAATATTTGAAAAAATTCAATATATTTTTACTAAAAAAACACTCAACAAATTATAAATAGAAGTAAACTTCCTAAGCTTAATAAAGAGCATATACAAAACCCCTACATCTAACATTAGACTTAGTGGTGAAAGACTGAAAAGCTTTCCCCCTAAGATCCGGAACAAGATAAGGAAGTTTGCTCTCATAATTCTATTCAACACTGTACTGAAGGTTCTAGCCAGAACAATTAGGCAAGAAAAAGGAATAAAAGGAACCCAGATCAGACAGGAAGAAGTAAAACAATTTCTATTCATATATGATATGGTCTCATGTATAGAAAATTCTAAAGAACATAGACATACACAAACTATTAGGGATTTATTGAGATCAACAAGGTTGCAGAATACAAACTACAATATACAAAAACCAATTGTATTTCTATATACTAGCAATGAACAATCTGAATATAATATTAAGAAAATAACTCAATTTATAATAACAAAAGAATGACATATTTAGGAATGTATTTATCAAAAGAAATTTAAGGCATGTACACTGAAAATTGTAATACATTATTGAAAGAAATTAAAGAAGACCTAAATAAAAGGGAGGAAATCCCATGCTCATAGATCAGAAAACTTAATATTGTTAAGATAGCAATACTCATCAAATCTATGATTCAACATAATCTCCATCAAACTACTAGCTGGCTTTTATATAGAAATTGATAAGCTAGTCCTTAAGGTCATATGGAAATGCAAGGGACTGAGAATAGACAAAGAATCCTGAAAAAGAAGAGCAAAGTTGGAGGATTCACACTTCCAGATTTACAACTTATTACTAAGCTATGAAGAAAGTGTGGTGCTGGCATAAGAATATATAGATCAATACAATAGAATTAGGAGTCCAGAAATAAATTCCTATATTTATGGTCAATTGATCTTTGATAAGGATGCCAAGACAATTTAGTGGTAAAAGAATAGTCTTTTCAACTAATGATATGGGGCAATTGAATTCCACATGCAAAACAAAGAATTCAGATTCCACTTCACATCTTACATAAAAATTACTTCAAAATGGATCATTTAGCAAGAGCTAAAACTCTTAGAAGAAAAGATAGAAATAATTTTTTTTTAATTTTATTATTTTTAAAAATATATATATATATTTTATTGATTTTTTACAGAGAGGAAGGGAGAGGGATAGAGAGTTAGAAACATCGATGAGCGAGAAACATCGATCAGCTGCCTCCTGCACACTCCCTGCTGGGGATGTGCCCGCAACCAAGGTACATGCCCCTGACCGGAATCGAACCTGGGACCCTTGAGTCCGCAGGCCGATGCTCTATCCACTGAGCCAAACCGGTTAGGGCAAGGAATAAATTTTTGTTGTCTTGGTTTAGGCAGTGATTTCTTGGATATGACATCAAAAGCACAACATCATTAGCCACCAAGAAAATGCAAATCAGCCCTAGCCGGTCTTGCTCAGTGGATAAAGCACTGGCCTGTGGACCTAAGGATCCCAGGTTCAATTCTGGTCAAGAGCATGTACCTCAGTTTCAGGCTCCTCCCCGGGCCCCCGGCCCTGTGAACGAGGCAACCAATCGATGTGTTTCTTCCACATTGATATTTCTCTCTGTCTTTCCCTCTCTCTGCCACTCTATCTAAAAATTTCTCCCTGTCTTTCCCTTTCTCTTCTACTCTCTCTAAAAATCAATGGGAAAAAAATCCTCAGGTGAGGATTTAAAAATTAAAATTAAAAAAGCACAAGGGACAAAAAGAAATAGACAAATTGGTCTTCATCAAAATTAAAAACTTTGTTTACTTACCTTGTAGGGAAGCTATCATGATCACGAAGGTGGTCTCCCTAGGGTGAGGCTCACCCATTGCACTCCTGCTGTGCTGACGCCTGCAATTTCTCCAAATGTGGGAAATTCAACTGCATAATTTGTGGTAGTGGGGGACTGCACTCACATTCTCCCCTTAGAAGAAAAAAGAAAAATGAAAAGCTTTTGTACTTCAAAGTTTCACCATCAAGAAAGTGAAAATACAATCCCAGAATGGGAGAAAGTATTTGTAAACTATATCTCTACTGAAGGTCTAGTATCCAGGACATATAAAAAACTCTTACAATTCAATAATAAAAAGACAAATGACCTAATTTAAAAATGAACAAAGGATCTGAATAAATATTTCTCTAAAGAAAATATACAAGTTGCCAATAAACACGTGAGAAGCTGCTCAACATCATTAGCCACCAAGAAAATGCAAATCAAAACCACAATGAGATTATCATTTCACACCCACTAGGTTGGCTTTAACCAAAAAGACAAGTAATAACAGTGTGTTGCTGATAGGAATGTAAAAAGGTCCAGCTGCTTCGGGAAACAGTCTGACCCTTCCTCAAAAGGTTAAACATAGAGTTACCATAAAACCCATCAATTCCACACGTAGGTATATACTGTATATCAAGAGGATTGAAAGCATATAGCCACACAAAAACTTGTACATGAATGTTTATAGAGGCATTATTCATAACAGCTAAAAAGTGGAAACAACCCAAATGATTAATAGATAAATAAAATGTGGTGTGCTCACACAATAGAATATTAACCGGCCATAAAAAGGAATGAAGCACAGATTCATGGATAACATAGATGAACCTTGAAAACATTATACTAAGTGAAATAAGACAGGCACAACAGACCATATATTTTATGATTCCATTTACACAAAATGTCTAGCACAGGCAAATCCATGGAGACAGAAAGTAAATTAGTGGAGATTAGGGGGAAATAGGGGAGTGACTGCCAGTGAGTATGGGGTTTCTTTTTTGGGGGGTGAAAATGTTCTAAAATTAGATGGTGATGCTGGTTATGCAGCTCTGTGAATATACTAAAAACCACTGACTTGTGCACTTTAAAAAGGCGAGTTTTATGGTATGTGAACTATATCTCAATAAAACTGTTATATAAATAGAATTACCTTATTATGTTAAATGTAAGGTGGGCCTCCATTTCCTAGCGAGAAGATTTTTAAAAAAGGTTTTTGATGACTGAAATATGCTGTAACATCCCTGACAAGGCAAAGTTTCCCTCTAAAATTGTCCTTAAAAAGGAAGGCAAAATTGTGCAGACCTCATTTTTTAGGGCTCCCCTCACCATTCCCCACCTCACTCTAAGAGACTGACAGCGAGAGAACATAGTGTATGTTTTTATGACTGTGGAGACTAGGATCTCCCACATAGATAATCTTGTCTCCCATTATTGAGGCTCTCCAAGCCCAATGCCCATACTCTTGCTTTTTGTAACTGCCTGTGCATTTTCCTTCTATCAGCTATTCCTCCCTCAAACCCAGAAGGTCTATCAGTCATGCCGCCCTTCACTTCCATGGCCAAAAGGTGGACTTGTGACTTAATTTGTCCAATCAGATGTCCTTTTTTGGGAATTTAGCTCAAGAGTGGGGTGATTCCAGAAAAATGACAATGATTTGCTCCAGTGGAATGCCCTGAGGAAACTGTCCTATGGAGTCAGGGGACACTATTCTGATCCTATTTTTTCCTTCAGGCATTTCTTGCACCCAAGAAGCCTAACTTGATCTTTTGGTTATTCAAGGGCTGACAAATTCCATATCATTGTCATGGTTCTCTCAAGGCAGGGGATGGGCTCCTCCAGATTGTCCAGACAATGAAGGAGGAAGACTCCTAAATTATGAAGTCATGACCTAGAAACCACTATATACTTCCATTGGAGCATCTTCTCTTTGTTTCCCTCTTGGTGACCATTTGCTTTAATATTTTAACTAAAGCTCTAAACAGTCATTGAATCTTAACTATGTCAAGGTACCTTGTTAGTTGAGGGAATAGAAAGATGAACAAAATGATATCCCAGTTTTGGAGGGTGGGGTGGGAGTGTAAAAAAATGCTCTCTGACTTCTGAGTGTATCAGAGAGAAGAATCAGAAAAAAAGAGGACATTTAAGCTTGGCTAGAGGTAGAGAAATTTCTGACCCACAGGGAAGGCACCCTTTGTGAGAGATTATTGAAATCAGAGAATCACAGACTTTGGGGCTGACAGGGACCTTACGGATTATCTAGTCCTACATTTCCTAGATGAAGAAATCCAGATTCTGAGAGGTGAAATGACTTGACTAGAGCCACATTGGGCTTAGAACTGACTTCTCTGACTCCCAGTCCAGTGCTCATCTCACTAGCTCCCAGTCACATGGTTGCCCTTGGCTGTCTCCTCCAGATTTCAGGGAACTTGGGGGAAAAGGGCAATGTTTGGGGTTTGGTAAATGGTTGCCTAGGGAAGTTTGTCTTTTAAGGCCACCCAAGAAATCAGCAAGGAAATGGGGCAGATTCCAGTAGTTCTGGTCATGTTGCTTTCTTCCTTAGGTTTCCCACTGGGGGCTGGTACCAGGGTTTGCAGTGCAATGGGAATATCAGTGTGTGCGTTCCCACCTTTCTCCATCCTCCTGGAGCCCTTGAAGCAAACCAACAGCTAAAGTGACCTCTCACTGGATGGTCTCTTTCTTCTGGATGGTCTCTTCTGGGTGATTCAGTCAGTTGGGGTGGGAGAGTCTTTGATTGTCATTATCTGTAAGGTGTCAGGATATCAGCTAAATACCCAACAGAGACTCTAAGGAGGAAATCAATTCAGAAATCAGGCCTAGAATTTCCCCAGGGCTAAGAGGGATTTACCTTAGCTAGCAACCTGGCTCTAGGCAGGAAGGACGCAGTGTAAATAGCATTCATTGCTGGTCCTCCAGAGACAGAGAGCCTGGTCATGGTTCTTTGAGTGGAGGAAGAGACAGAGAGTCTTTCTAAGCTATATTTTTCAGCCATTAATGAGCACAATCAGTTTAACCATTACTTTCAGAGAACTTCTCATGTTCCAGCACTGTGCTAGGTTCTGCAGTCCACACATGATCCCTGTCTGTAAGGAACTATAGACAAACATATGACTGACAAGTTTAATAGAATGTGATCAGTGATAAGCCCTGGATGGCCCAAAGCAAAGAAAAGGAATATGCATCCCACCCGGGATTCAGAGAAGGCAAAGGAATTAACCACGAACGAAAGCCACAGCCTCACAGGCAAGAGAACCACAGGGACAAAGGTGTGGAATCTGGGTGTGGGGGAAGCCATAGGCAGTTGATAGTGTTACCAGAGGTTGAAGAGGGAGATGGGAAGTGTGGGGTGATAAGGCAGAGATGGTGTGTGTGTGTGTGTGTGTGTGTGTGTGTGTGTGTGTGTGTGTTTAGGTAAAGCACGAGGGTTTCTTCTAGTTGGGAGGGGCCTGGTGATTGGCATTTTAGATAGATCACTGCAGTGTGGATTTGGGGAGGAGGTACCAAGAATGGGGGCAAGGACCCAACTGGAGGAGTACCTGATGCAGGGTATTCATAATGAAAACGAGGCACTTACAAGGAAAGGAGACATGAACTGGAGAAATATCCAGGCGGTGAGTGATGATGGAGATGTGATGGTTAAGGAAGAGACTCAAATCTAGGGGGCTTGCAGGTTTCTGACTTGGTGCCTGGGTGGATAATGGGGCCATGAACTGACGTAAGAAAGACAGGGAAGGAAAACTAGTCTGGAAGAGGGATGCTCATGATGGCTAACATTTATTAATCATTTATAGGGACCAGGCATCGTGCCAGGAGTTTTTCATGCATTTTCTCATAACTCTGCGGGGTAGATATTATTATTCTCAATTTATAGATGAGGAAATAAAACTTTGAGACATTAAATAGCTTGGCCAGATCTGCACAGCTGGAAGAGTGGTGGAAAGCAGTGGGAACCCAGGCATTCTGGCTCCAGGGCCAATGCTCGTAATGACTAGGGTTGATATGTGTGCATGTGGAGTCTGAAGAGCCCATGGGATACCCACAGTGGAGAGGTCTGGGACTTAGGGCGGCTATCAGGGCCCAGATTATGGTAAAAACTGTGTATGTGGACGAAACTACTCAAGTTGAACAGTGACTGAAGCACAGTGCCCTGGAAAACCCCTTAGCTAAAGAAGTAGCCAGAGGGTAATGGGTCCACAGATGAGACAAAAACAAAAATACCCTGATTTTAAAATCTGAAGACATGGCTCTGCTATCTGGGCAACAGAAAACTGGGCAATCATGAACGTGTAGTGGCATCAAATAAAAACAGGCACCAAGCTAAGCTGAAGTTAATTATAACAGTTACTATGTTGTATGGTAATTATCCTAAACAGTAAGCATTTTACATAAATGGCAGTAATTAGTAGAGCACAAGTTTTCCGAGCTGTGTCCTGTGGAATAGTAGTAGTTCCTGGAGATGTTAATAAATGTTTGGATAAAAAAGGGCTTTGGAGTCAGATAAGTTTAGGAAACGCTGGGATGATTTAGACAGAGCCACGGAACCCCTGGTTTACACTTTCTTCTCTGTTAGGAGGCAGGAGAGCGGAATGGTTGAGTGTAAAACTGGGAGCACTCAGCACAGCTTCGGGTTGAATCCTGCCGCTGACAAGCTGGGTAATCTTGGGCAATTTACTCAACTTCTCTAAGTGGACGTTTCCTCTGGACATACTCGCCATGATTGTTCTAGAGATTAAATGCAATAACATATGCACTTAAAACATTTAGAATAGAGCCCGGCACAGAGTGAGGGCTCTACAAATATTAGCTCTTATTTGTAAACTGTATTATTATTAACAAATCTTTCTGATATTCTGGAGTTTAGTCCTTGACACACACTTCACACACATATATGCTGACAACTTATTTCTTAAAAGTCAGAAGTCTGACCCCTGTTGAAGTTCTCTGTGTCCCTACCTCCTCCAGACCACAGTCTGGGAATGACCAAACTCTTGCCTTATTCTAATCTGGGGGCCAGAGAGAGGGAGGATTTATGTCCTGGCTGCATTGCCTTGCAAGGGCCACCACTAGTTTAATTACCTTTATGCCCACTTGGAACAAGCATGCACCTTTCAGGTGGATGCTGGCCTGTGCCAGGGCACACCACACAGCAAGTGGAGTGCGGGATGTATTTTTTATTTTATTTTTATTTTTCTAAATATATTTTATTGAATTTTTACAGAGAAGAAGGGAGAGGGATAGAGAGTTAGAAACATCGATGAGAGAGATCGATCAGCTGCCTCCTGCACAGCCCCCAGTAGGGATGTGTCCGCAACCAAGGTACATGCCCTTGACCGGAATCGAACCTGGGACCCTTGAGTCTGCAGGCCGACGCTCTATCCACTGAGCCAAACCGGTTTGGCGGTATTTTAGCCTCCGTTTGCTTCTGAGGCTGAATGCCACTGTACCATGAACAACCTGCACAACCATACATGGCGGCTCTGACCTTCAGGCCATAGAAGGGACTGGAAGCTAATGGTCACTGGAGAAAGAGGGTACAAATTCTCCTCCCAGTCGTTCATGAGATTAACTCTGCACAAACCCTAAGTGGATAAAGCCTCCTCCTTCTCCCCCCTCCCTACCTCCCCACAGGTGCCCACCCCCCATTCACCACACAGAGGCTGACATCAGAATACCCTTGGTGTTAGGGGGGACCTCAGGCTTTGCCTATTTCTCTGAAATCCTGATTGAATTTGGCAGGTGCCAGAGCTGTGGAAAGCGGAAGTGGGAGGGGATGATTTTCCACGTTTCCCTGACACATAATGGACACTACATAATAATGATGTTCCGAACCACAGCAGACAGGGCTAGAGCAAGTCTTGACTATGGTTTGGGGCCGTGAAGGGAACATGATGGGAATGGGAGCTTCTAATCCTCACTGTCTGGCCCCCAATGTTTGGCTCCCAATAGACTCACCACTTTTGAAGGTAGACACTTCCTTTATGAAACAGGGGAAGAAAAAACCAGACGTTTCCTATTCTTCCCTAGAGGTGTGTGGGCTGGAGGGCAGCACCCCCCGATGTGCACACACATGCGTTTACACGCACTCCCACGAGCAGAACGGCCTCTCCAGCTCCCCGCGGGGCTCCTGCCTCCGAGCACCGTTTCGCAGCCTAGAACCCACGTGCGGGCCTGACCGGTGGTGACCTGCCAAGGGATCGATCCCCCCTCTCCCGACCTGGGTTCTCTCCTTGATAACACAAGGAACAGGGGCGGGCGAATTGTTTGTCAGGCTCCTCGTGGCCCTGACCTGCTACGTTTCCCACTCCCGGGGGGTTCTATTCACTCCCCCTCCGGCCCTGCCTGGCCAGACGGGTAGGGACGGGCTGCCCAGGGAGGCTTTTACCCTCACGGCGCCCTGTTGCACCAAAGGCAAACCTGCCCCCTCACAATGGTGCCTACGTGTGCCTCCACCGCTCTGGGAGACACACAGCCACCCAGGCCGGGCTGGCCATTCAGGGCGGCGGCCGAGAGGCTCAAGAACAAAGGCTGAGCTGGATGGGGAAGGGGCCTGCCCTGGACGTGCGGGGAAGGGAGCCCTAGGGCTGTTCGAGACGTTACCGCTCCTTCCCTTCGGAGGTCCGAGGGGAGGAAAAGCTCCCGGCTGCTCTCCTTCCCACACACAGGTTTGGGGGAGGGGAGGGGGTCTTTGTCTTTTCCTCCGGGGCTGATGGCTTCACCCCCTTCCCCTGCCTCTCCCAGAGGTCAGGATCTCGACCTCTTTCCCCACCAGCTCCCCGGGCCTGCAGTCTCCACCCTCCGCTCTCCCTTTATTCTTTTGGGGGCCTTCAGCCCCGCCCTCTCTCCTCACTCTCAGCCTTGCCCCGGATTCCTTTCCGGGCCTGGTCTCTCCCGCCCCGGGTGCGGGGGTCTGCATTCTCCTTTCTCTCCTCGGGCCCCA